GTTGTGATTATTGGGAAAAAAATGATTTTGGGACAGAAAGTTAAAAGCCTTAGACGCTATATCCTTCTACTATTAGTTTGTGTCAACAATAGTTTAAATTTTTCGATTCTACCTATTAACGAAAAATAAGTAATGTAGTCGATTGTTGTAACAAAAATACGTTTGCTTCATCGGCAATCCCACAAAATAATGTGCTATGGGATAAAGCCTGGCCTTCCTTGAAATTGGCATTGGCTTTGGGAACCAAGTGTACTCGTGAAAATGTGGTTGAGTGGCTAACTTGTCAAGCTCACGTACTGCGGTCACGGTCCGACTCCCGCTAGGGATGTTGATAAGACCTATACGAGGTCGAATCTGCAGTCCACCCTTGACGAGAACAACTTTTGGGAAAGCAAGGTTATGTTAAATTCAATGGATACGTCAGGTCTACTCATATCATTGTGGGAAAATTCTGCTACCAGTCCTTCATCACCTTAAGCGAAATTGGATGAATACATCTCATAATAGTTGAAGTTATTTGCATTTCGACCTGAGATCTAGGCTAAATATTGGGCAGAAATCAACTTCCAATGTATCCTATTCTTTTTAAATCCGAGGTATTTAAGCATCTCATTTCTAAGGGATTTTGGAGTATTTTTCATGGTATATTTATATATCAATATTAGAATGAAATTAAAATTCCTTATTTTGAAACTTATTCTATCCGAATACCTGCTAGAACGTCATTTTAGGTGGCGTTAATGTTTTATTATCTTCAGAATCAAACCTTCAGTCTAGGCTTTATAAGAAAGCCCTTTAGGAAACAAGATTAAGGGAAATCCATTGGAACCGTGAGGATTTCTATCTAAACTTTTATCCTCCCTAAACATACCTATTGTCCGTGAAAACTGACCTTTTCTTAATTTAATTTTTCAAACTAATTACCTAATTTAAGACATAATGGTGATACAATTAAATTTTCATTTTAATAATTCATATTGAATTGCTTTCCAGATGGAGGATTTAGAGTTGCCTTTAAAGCCTGGTTCGGAACCGATTCCCGAACTCGACAGCCAACTGGCTCTTGATGCTGAAGGCAATGATTTGAACAATCATGAATTGGCTCGTATTTATGAGCTAGAAGCTAAATTGCCCTTAGATTTCAAGCAAATCGATAAATCACTTCGTCAAATAACAGATGAAAAGGAAATAAACCGCAAGTGAGTTAAGCGCATAACGTTCCACTCGTTTATTCGTTCATAACTAGAGCTGGACCTAATAATATGCATATTTTAACACCATTCACGGCCACTAGCCAAGGATATTGTAATTTTTGTTCTATACTTTCCATAGAAGAAAATACACATATATGCTTAATAAATACTTATTCGTTCTAAGTCCTCTCGTTTCCAGAAAATTATGAGTTGTCTTAGTTTTTATATAAACAAAAGTATCTTTCACTTCACATTCTCAGCACTGGGAATTATGATAACTTCTACATCAGAGGACTTCGGACAAGGTGCGTCCAACTTAGACCCCCTAACAACACTACTAAGTTGTGAAAACGTGGTCATACCACATCACATGGCTTGCTTAGTTGAGCTTTTTTATTCTGGTATGAGCGGCTATGATCTATGTTAAGTCAAAGTCTGTGAACTTTACCTTGTATTCTTGGCATCTTCTTATTAAGCCTAATAAAGCCTTAGATGAAATCGAAAATTGACTCAAACTTTAATGACTTCACACTAAATTACTATTTTGAGTAGTTATTAAAGACCTTATTCTGTTTTAGGTGGCATTTTGCCCTCTAGATCAATATTAGCCATGTAGATTTTGTTAAGAGTACTTTTTTGGAGGCAACAGTTAATGGAACTATGACATCGTATGGCCGACTCATAATTATGAGAAAAATTCACCTTTTGGTCCTTAAATCACCTTAAGCGATCTAGGAAGACTAGATACTTGTTCAGGAATTAATGCTAGTTTCGAAACTTATATCGAGAATGGGAATTAATTATCTATGCATATCTCGACTTTATTTCTAATCAGATCAGAGGAAGTGCAGAGTGAGATCGATCACATGCTTAATAGCTTGGGTCGCATTCAAGCACCAAACCTACGTGCAGGTGACAAACTGGGAAGTGTTGAGCAGCGCTTGCGTTCCACAGAAGCCGAGTTCGAGGAGACGCGTCGCAAGGCTAAGCGTGCCAAGGCAAAGTTTGAGCAGATCCGTCGAATGCGCTTTAACGCATTCATGAATTGCTTTAACTCTATCGCCGATAACATTGATCCTATCTATAAAAGCCTTTCAAGGAATCCCGGTGCTCAGGTTTGACAATACATTGCCATAAATCGTATCTTTTGAGACATATCTTTCTTTTGTATTTTCAGAAAGGTTTTTTTACTTAGCTTTTTTTAGATTTTTAATGGCCGATTTTATCAAATATATATTTATTTTTCTGTCTGCACAATTATGTAAGCAAAACTTGTTAAAGACTAAGCCCTTTTAGGACATTTCAGCGAGCATTTTTTGCTCTGCTATTACAAAGAAGTTTCCACACCCCACAATTTGATCCTAAAATCTATCTTTACTGTCATTTATCCTAATCTTATGTGTCTTAGCATCATTATTAAATAATTCTGTCAAAATTTTTCTCCCAATATAATTTGCATTGTGATTTTCTCAGACACCCCATGGGCTTGTTGACCTGCTAACGTTTTTTCTTAACATTTCTAAATGCTATAAGCATGTGTTTTTTTTTATAGAGGTTGTTTGACCTTGTTTTCGTAACATGGTCATATTGGTAGGAAGACTTAGAGGAACGCACCTA